TACAAACGCGTACATACAGCCTTGCCGAGTCCAAACGCCCCCGTGTGGGGACACATGGCTTGAAGAAAACAAGAAAAGCTATAGCAACACATCCACTAGGACACCCATCAAAGTGGCCACGGTATGGCATCGTGCAAAAACGTGTTGCCAAACACCGAACAATGGGTACATGAACGGATACAAGCTGCGAGCTGCNCAAGTGTCACGGATAGTCGCCACTTCGCTGTAGGCCAACCTATACAAACGCGTATATACAGCCTTGCCGAGTCCAAACGCCCCCGTGTGGGGACACATGGCTTGAAGAAAACAAGAAAAGCTATAGCAACACATCCACTAGGACACCCATCAAAGTGACCACGGTATGGCATCGTGCAAAAAAGTGTTGCCAAACACCGAACAATGAGTACATGAACGGATCCAAGCTGCGAGCTGCATGAAACGTTGTCTTTGCGACAGCAACAAAAACAACACACAAACAACCAACACAATACATCTTCATCAATGTCGTGCGATCCTACTGCACACCACTCTCCACGGCATCGTGAGCGGGATTGTTCCCGCTTCGCAACGGGTTCCATTCTCCCTCACCCGTCAGCTTGTTCCCGTCGAGTCGAACAATTTGCACCTTTCCGAGGCCTCCAAGCTCTCCGGGGATGGAACCTGCACGGGCGTACAGCAGGTGACCCACTGGTTATCTTGTTGCTGGTGTACTGGGCATGAGGAAACATGTGTCATGCCGCCGGCTTGTTCAACATCGGGCCCGTCTACCTCGTGGGCGAGACACGAAATGAACCCACGTCCCCACGCCATCCTCCCTCACACATGAACTTGGTGTCGCTCAACGCACAAGATTCTCCACACCACACCGATGTAAGTCTCACGTGTGATCGACCCGCATGCGTTCTCCTAGATGAGAATGTCNCCTCTCACAAATGAACTTGGTGTCGTTCACCGCACAAGATTCTCCACACCACACGTGTGATCGACCCGCATGCGTTCTCCTAGATGAGAATGTCGCCACCCTCTCGTGACTTCGGGGCACGCCATAGAAGCCAACCAGACCGTCTATTGAAACCCTCTAATGGCAACCATAAGCTCTTGCCGGTGAGCTCGCTTGCGTCCGGACTACCGCGACCAACACATCGACCTGACACTCACGTCAACAGTCTTGAGCCCTCCAACTGCTACATCCTGCCGATCGTCTCACTATCTGATTACCGGTCGGTATTCTTGCTGGCCACGGAGGCCTCCCTACTCAGACAATATTTCACCGGTATCTCCAACAGCATCGTTTCCGGGTCTAGGCCAAAATGCCAGGAATACAGGTNGACCCGCATGCGTTCTCCTAGATGAGAATGTCGCCACCCTCTCGTGACTTCGGGGCACGCCGTAGAAGCCAACCAGACCGTCTATTGAAACCCTCTCATGGAAACCATAAGCTCTTGCCGGTGAGCTCGCTTGCGTCCGGACTACCGCGACCAACACATCGACCTGACACTCACGTCAACAGTCTTGAGCCCTCCAACTGCTACATCCTGCCGATCGTCTCACTATCTGATTACCGGTCGGTATTCTTGCTGGCCACGGAGGCCTCCCTACTCAGACAATATTTCACCGGTATCTCCAACAGCATCGTTTCCGGGTCTAGGCCAAAATGCCAGGAATACAGGTACATGGTGCAAGGGGANCTGCTACATCCTGCCGATCGTCTCACTATCTGATTACCGTCAGTATTCCTGCAGGGCACGGAGGCCTCCCTACTCAGACAAAAATTCGACCTGCATCTCCAACAGCATCGTTTCCGGGTCTAGGCCACAATGCCAGGAATACAGGTACATGGTGCAAGGGGATACGTCCCCCGCCCGAGTCATGCCTTCTGTGCCTCTAAGATGTACAACGGTTCGAAGGTGTGAGATTGTCATCGTTCATGGAGCAAGGTATTCAAGTACGGACACAAAGAGGTCACGCCATTGCCAGCCTCCTGTGGCCTCTCTTTCCGATGGATAGTCGATGGGTTCCGAGGAGGGGCGAAAGGAAAATGAAACGACCACCTCTAAGAGATGGTACGCCCTGGGTTGCAAGCATGATGTATCGTGAAGCTGCTGTGGAAGGCAACATACAGCGGTGATGACACCCCAACACATGAAACCAGGAGCCACCGATAGGTTGCCTTCATATTTGGGGGAGTGTCACGTGTAGTCCCCACGTCGTTACGGGCCATCTGACATGTCGCGTACATACAACCACGTCGCGCGTCGTGCAGGCGACACCACGAGTCTCATGTAACAAACCAACTGCAAACCTGAGCCAAGGCTCCGNGAAACCAGGAGCCACCGATAGGTTGCCTGCATATTTGGAGGAGTGTCAGGTGTAGTCCCCACGTCGTTACGGGCCATCTGACATGTCGCGGACATACATACAAACACGTCGCGCGACGTGCAGACGACACCACGAGTCTCATGTAACAAACCAACTGCAAACCTGAGCCAAGGCTCCGCAACATGCACCAATCCAACTGAGCGACTCGAAGACGCAGAGAGGGTCGCCAAATAGGGCGTCGCAGTCGGCACTGTTCCCGCACCACACGGAGGTTGACTCTCCCTTACCGGTAAGTTCGTTGCCGTTGAGCTTTAGCTGTTCCAACTTGCCGAGACCTCCAAGCTCTCTCGGGATGGACCCTGCAACAATCGAAAGAGCCAAATGGTGATCTCGTTATTGTAGATCGCCGCTGGTGGGCGCGGCGTGGTGAAAAGGTATGATGCGGCCGGCTGGTTCAACATCGGTCCGACCTACCGCGTGGGCGAGACACGAAAGGAATCAATCATCGCACGCCATCCTATCTCACCAGTGAGCTTGTTGTTGCTCACGGCAAGCACCTTCAGCTCGCTGAGAGCTCCAAGCGCCTCGGGGATGGACCCTGCACGAGACAAAAGCACAACGAGCCGCATTGCCTGGTCAAATTGCAAATGTAACGCAGGACATCATGTGTCGCCCACGCCTTGTGTGTACTGAATGGAGGTGCTCCACAACCTAGCCAAACTGTTTTCCAGAACCCAACACCAGCTATGAGACAACGCCTATTATTGTTTCCCTCAGAATCCAGGTCGATTCGGATCGCGACGAACACGATCAGCATATCGCACTGGCACTTAGGTCAAACATCCCGACCTCTCAAACGTCTGTCGCGATACAACCCGCCGATCTTCTCACGGTCGTCCCGCTGGGTAGTCTATGTTTCATGCCACAAATATTTCCCCGCTCAGAAGTGATGAGGCCATTCTCTTTAAGGGTATCGTTTCCGGTTCTAGGGGTACAGACGAAGGGCGCTACAAAGCGGTGCTCTAAATCACGCCAGGCTCTACCTTTATCATATATTCGGGAATCGTGAGATTGATATCGTCCCGAAAGTGATGCTTGGAAGGTCATGGACGCTCGTGGAAGCTCATGCTAGCTAAGCACGGGAGCAAAGGGCGTCAATTCCCATCAAGCAACATGAGAAGTTCACCCATTGACAATTCGATGCCGACACCAAGCAGATGGCACAGTAAGCGAATTCACAACGCGGACTAGACATTGCAATACCGTGGAGGTTGTTGTTCG